AGAGAGTGAGATAGACGCTGTGGAACAGTCAACACATGAATTGCATTAGTTGCAACGGCAGCCGTCAGCGGGGCGACAATTTGACATTTAACTTGTACTTTGTTTTTAGGCAAAACGCCGGGCAGCAGTTGCGGGGGTTAACTCTTGAGGGGAAGAGCGTTGCGCTATGCAAATAGCAGAGAGCCTCTGGCATTGTCTTTGACAATGAGTATGCGACGATAAATGAAACGATAAACTGTCAAATTGCTGCAATTTAACGCTTGATAAGCAACTTGGGGGCAACTCTGCTGGACTTGCCAGAGCAGTTGACAACTCTGAATGCCTGTGGCCAGGCTATAGGGTATATAGCTATTGCCCATTGTTCGATCAGGCCTATTGTTGATGCCTCAATGCAAAAGTCAAAAGGGGTACGACAGGAATATATGTTTTAACAGAGGTGCATTGCATGTTCATGGATTCGGGTTGGGTTCGTTTGGGCTCGGTTTGGGCTGGGTTTGGTTGGGTTGCTTGGCGAGGGGTGCGTGTGTGTGTGTGCTGCCTGGGCATTAAAAGATTTCAAACATTTTCATTTTGCAGCCGTCTGACATTTGTAATTATGAGCTGCGAGTCTTTCGGCTGAGCTATTTAAGCGATTTGCTTTATTAAAATCCGTAAGCGGAAAAACAAACAAACATTTTGCGAAAAATAAGCAACAGCCACCACCACCAGCAGCGCGCCCAGCAGCATCAGCAGCAGCAACCACTAAAAAATCTGCACAGGTCGCAACATATTGTTGACTCCATCTGAAGGTTCTTGTCTGCCTGTATGTCTGTCTGTCTGTCCAACTGCCTCTCCGTCCATTTGTAGCAGCGCAAATCTGCTACTCTGCCACATTCGCAGCTTGCCGAAAATTTCATTCATTCATTCATTCCATTACGTTTCGTTTCGTTTCGTTTATCCCTTTTATGGCTTGTTTGGGGATTTTCATTATTACAATGACGTCGTCATCATTCTCAGTACCAGATTCAGATCCAGATCCAGACCCAGTGCTAGCCCCAGGCACAGTCTGGCCTTGTTGTGCCTCTAGCTACTTTCGCCTTGTCCATGTTTATTTATAACTAGCAATTGTAATTAGGATTACTTTTTACTTATTTGCACAGTTGCTGGAGAGGCTCGCGAGGCATATAAAAAACATATTTCTGAATTTTTACATCGTGGACTTTGTGCTGCAGCATTAAAGTATTTGTCCAGACAGCTTAGTAGGGTGCTGTTGTATCTAGTTAATAGGATATCCATGAGATACCCAGATATGGCACAAACAGCTGATGCCCTGAGCTCTAGCCGCCGAATGGTTTGGCAGTTGAGCTGAGGTTCTTTTTGGCAGGAATGGGATATTGTTTTGCGGAATACATGCGTATTAGCGGGCATTATCTTAGATGAACTATGTAATGCCTTTACTCTTCATATTTGAAACCAATCTATGGATTTTTAAAGAACACCGTATACAAAGAACATTAAATTCTTGGCATGAAAAAATGGTTTGTTATTTTTCTACTGCCGGAAATCATTTAAAAAATCTTCCCCTAACGAGCAATTCTTATTTGCTTCTTCGAATTTAAATATCTCAAAATCATTTTTCTTTTTGCTCTGACATACATATATTGGCATAATAAGTCGAAATATGAGAAAACTTCCTTATTGATTGTAATTTTTATGGATATAATATATATTAAGCATGACCTTTAAGGATCGCGCCCCAAACACGACAAAATGTACTTTTTATCGATTTAACTTTGAATGTGTGCTGAATTGTTAAATGGTTTGAAACTCATAGATCTATCCAAGTGTCAATCAAGCATTGGGTAGTTTTTTTAGTGATTAATCAATTAACGATTTACAGATGATTTGCCCCAGAAAGCAACCAAAATTGATTTGTCACATAGCCTTTCGCATTTTGCAGACCGCGCGCTTGACACGCATTTGTCACAGACAGTTGGCTCTTTTATTTTTGGGCGTGACAGTATAACCCTTGAGTTTGGCCAACATTTTCGCCATATTGCCCATAATTATGATTATTTCACGCGTTTTTATGTCCTACCCACAATTTCAAATAGATGGGAGTGCTTCTGTCGTCGCGTTCAGTTGTCAACTGTACAAAATTCGCACCACAATCCCATCACGATTGAAACAGGCAGGTCAACCCTTTTCGCCAATGTTTGTGAATGGCCCACGCACATAATGCGATAAATAAAGTCATTCAGGACAACAGCAAAAAAAAAGGACTAACGACGAGCTTCACAAATTGAAGTGTTGTAAAGTGAACAACGGAAAACCGAAAAGTGCAATGAAAAATAAATAGAATAAAATCGTTTAACACTCAACTCAAAAGCCAAATGACAATTTGACGAATTGAGAGAACTTTTCACGTATTTTGCCCCACCCAAAAGCACAAAAATGAAAAAAAAAAATAGAATAAAAATAAAGAAAATCACAAACATTTCGCCCATTTTGTGTGCTGTTTGTTGGTTCGGTTCTCGTGAATGGCTTTCAACTAATTTTCAACGCACGCCTGACAGACAGGTGATGGCTTGCCGCGCCGCCCCAATCAGCTGATTGATGGACAGGCCCCAGCCCGTCATTTATTCAGTCGAACAATCGAAAGTGTCAATTAAAAGACAGCAACAAATAGCAAATGCCAAGTGCCTGGCTGGCTCTCAGGCTGGCTGACTGGCACCGCAGCATTCAACGTTATTATTTTATTATATTTGATTTAAACGTTTCGAAAACGACATGTGCGCACTTTCCCTCTGGCCCAGTAGCACACCCATCCACACTCCCTCCACGCCCTGCCAATGCCAACCCCCCAGCAGCGATTTGTGGCCTGCGTGTTGCTGGGCATTGCAATCGAGTTATTGTCGCTGCTGTCGATTTTCCATTTCAATTTCAATTGGAATATGCGAAATATGCGTGAATTAAAACAGATGTCAGTACCCCACGGCGGTCATTGATCCCAGTTCTGTAAAGTGCTCTGATTAATGCCTCCGGGTACATATGTATTGTCTTCGGGGTAAAAGTAAACAGTGACTTATTCCTTGTCGCTGTTACAGGTCCCTAGAGATACAGCCTTATGTGCCTGCTTTATGTTGTGGTTGATCCAGCCCGCGGCCAACTGAAAAGGCGTCAATCGTCTGGCTGCCAACGGCTTGTTTATCTTGCCAAGTTTCTGTTTATGCAACGCCTTCAAATTAAAACTGCAATTCAATTAGCAGTCGATTCGCAGCTACTTCCTATATAATCAATGCGACCTCGACAATATTTGACATTACATTGAATTTCTGTATGTTGTTCTTCCTTAGTTGACTTTCTTTAATGTATGATTTAAAAAAAAAAAATAGCTAATATTAGCATTGCCATATTCAGTAAATATCTCAACTGACTCAAATGCTTGGCAAATGTACCTGAGCAGAAAGCCTGGCCTGGCACGTGCTCTATCATAGAAACTGCAAAATTTGAATACAATTGAACTTTCTAATAGAGTTATTTATAATGCTTCTAGTGCTGCTATAATAAGGCAGTTATATGCTCTGCTCGATCAAATTAAAACGACAAAGGAGTATTACAATTTTGGATTTGTATTTTTAATTTTATTAAATTTACCACGATTTTGTTTTATGGCTTTCAATATTTATTACCCATTTTGTTAATTGTCATTTGTTTTTGTATGTATAATTGCTTTGTATGCAATTTCTTGTTTTCAAATAATTAAAATATTATTTTTGCTATCAATAATTATAAAATTTGATGCCATTGTTGAAATGCAATCCATTCGGTTTTACTTTCTTTTATACTTGCCAACGAATTTGCAGACGAATTCATATTTAATGCTGCAGTTGAATTGATAAATGAGAGAAATAAATAAAAGCGTTTCTTTTTTGTTTTTTGTTTAAATAATTTAATACTATATTTTTGCCTTGAAATTTACACATACTCGTAATAAATGCTTTTAAATTAATTTAGAAATTAAACTAGTCTAGAAATGAATTGCGAAGCAACAGCAAATTAGTAATTCGTCTGTGTAACTTTGCCATAATTTACAAAAAAACATTACAAGTATTATATCATTTTTTTTACAGTATACACTTACGCCTGGCTTATTAATTTTTACAAAATGTAATTTAAACTTAATTACTAATTATTTAATTTTTGCGTTTATTATTTATACAAGTCTTGTAGGTAGGTTCGTGATTTTCTATTCATATCGTTTCGAGAGTGTCTCCAGTGTTGCAGAGCTGCATTTGCATGCGAAAAGTGTAGCAATAGGTGTCAGTGTTTGTGTGTGTGTGTGTGTGTTGCTGTTGTTGTGGCCAGTATTGGTAAACGCTATGTGCAATTGGAAACTTGGAAAGTTAAGAATTGTGCAGAAAGTTTGGAAATGTGTAAATATATATATATATATATATATATAGATATATGTACTGATTAGTAGTATATCTATATTGATCGGCCCTTGACAGCTTATTAATTGTAATTAACATTTTAAATATGTTTTTAAAAGTGTCTAGCTTAATGTTTAGCTCGTTTCTCTTAATCTTGTTGTTCTTGTTATTTGAAAATTTCTCGAAGGTGTTGCACAAACATTTGAAATACTTTCTTGTGTATGTCTCTGTGTGGTTGTTGTTTTTTTCATTATTTTTTTGCTACTATTTAAACTACTTTTTTACTGCACGTTGTGTGTTAAGTGTCAGTGTCTGTGTGCGTGTGGGTGTTATTATTTTATAAATATTATTTAAACGCGCGTACTTAGTTGATATTTTTTTTTAAAATGCGGTGTTTACACTTGTGTTTTCCTTTTTGTTTTTATTACTTGCTGATTTATTTTTTGACTACTACAAAGCTACTACGATTTTAACTTTTAGTACTTGTGTATTGTGATAATTTGTATGCGCATTAAACTAAAAAGGAACATATACATGATTATTTATTAATTATACAATACATTAATTATACTCGTATATAGTTTATTTATTTATATATATTTTTTTATTCATAGTTATTTTTATAGTCAGAGTCATTTGTTGTCGGGTAAAACGTTTGCATAAATTATAATTAGCATTAAGAACTGAATATTCTCGTTTGTTATAAGTTAAGTAGTTGAATATATATTTAATCACAAATCATTGATGAAAACTTCATTTTAATTGGTTTTAGGCGACGACGCTCTGCACGCTCTCTTGGTCCGTTAAATTCCGTTACAATTTTATCATCATCAACGTCTCTACATAATTTTTTTTGACGCGGCATTTCCATCTGCTCGGTAAGCAAACAATCTATGTATCTCACGGATACCTCTCTCTCTCTCTAAATTTATACACAGAAATTTACAGTGGGGCTTAAACATTGTGGGGCTGGGTAATATAGTTTAGGGCTAGGGTTGTACAGGCATTTACAGTTAGTTTTGCAATTATCGTTTTTTTTTTTGTTCTTGTTTTCTTTCGGAAAGGTACTAAAAATCAGTTGAACTCTATTATTATATGCTAGTTACTTCATCTTTTTATATCGTTATATTTTCTTCGTTTCATTTCGTTTCGTTTTTTAAACAATAAGTGTTGCTAAATGCTAGACCTTAAATTCGTTTTTTTTTGTTTTTATATTTCATTAATGTTCTGCTCGATTGCATTTGATCTATGAAAAACTAGTGCCCATTTTTATTGTTTTTTACTTCGTTTTGTTATCCTTTTCATTAAAAATTCAGCTCGCTTTACTATCATATGGATTTTCCACTACCTTTTCGCATGGTAATATATACTAGGTATACATATATATATTTACAGATTGTATTCTATAAGTTGTATCATTATCATTTCGTTGGCATATATTCGACGCTACATTGTTGCTTAGATATTCGACTTTTGCTAATTTATCTTTTCCGTTTGCTCAGTGGGTTTAATTGTTCGACGCGTTGTGCTCTCCATATAAGGGAGGGGCGGGTTCTAACAAAATTTACGATACGATTACGAGTACTTAACACTTGTATTTCATTTTGTATTTTCTAGTTGCATGTCCGTGTAGAGTTCCAGAGCTGTTAATAGGATGAAAATAACATGGGAAGAGATTGATTTTAATATTTATATTTTCTCCAAAATATTTGCTAAATCATTAACAATAATTATGAAAAAAATTACTTAAATTGATTAACTTACAACAAATTGCGTTGAATTTAGAATTTGTATTAGAATATATATAGTGTCTACAAAATTACAAATTTAATTACCCAAAACAAAACATTAAATTTATTAAATGTAGCATATAAACATTTTTTTCTAAATTTATTTTCATTTTTTATCAAATCCGATTTTTGGTTAAATATAAAATGAAATTCAGTTAAGTGCATTATTCACTTGAATTTAGTTAAGTTAAGTTCAAAGTAAGATGACTGAAGAACTCACCTCAAATCCATTTAATATGGGGTTTTCATCAATGATACCACAGCCTGTTGTTTTGTGTTCTCATAACACCATTCGCCAACGGATTTGCGATTGCAGTTGCAGTTGCCGTTGCGTTTCCAGTTCCAGTTCCATTTCCATTTCCAATTGTAGTACCAGTTAATTTAGTTGCATTTGTTGTCGTTTGGTTAGTCGAAGCTTCACTATTGTTGACAGCAGCAGCAGCAGCAGCTTGTCCAGCGGAAAACTTAAGAGCCGCCGCACTTCTGCTCAGATGAACGCCCACATCGTCGGCGGGCGAGAGACCTGTTAGCACCGGTCGCTTGTAGTCCGGAGCGCAGCTATTCACATCTGTATTGACCACGTCTCGTGTCAGGCGCAGCGCCTTGAGGTGCTGCCTCTGCTGTTGCTGCTGATGATTGTCGCGTATCGATGTGGGATTCTTGGCATTGCCCGTGGCGTACCTGTTGTTGTGCAGCGTGAGGCTGTATTTGGGCTTGGCGGTCAGGGTGTTGCCGCTGCCATTGGCGCTGCTGAGACTCAGATGCTGCGGCTTTTTGGGCATTGTAGTGGAGGCGTTGCTGTGCTTGCTGGCGGCCAGATCGCTGCCAGCGCCCGTCGGCTCCGCCGCTGCTGCCAACTTGAGTGAGGCTTCGAACTAGAGATTATCTGGATAGCTGCGGAAATTGTAAGTTCTGGCGCGCTGAAATTCAGCGGCTGCGGCAGCGGCGGCAGCACTATTGCCACTGCTATACGGATTGATCATGGGTGCCGTGGACTGGGAGTTCATGGTGCCCATGCCGTCATCATAAATACCATTCAGCTGGTCCTGGTTGCTGTGGCTGCTCTTGCCGCCGCCGCTGCTCACCGTGTTGGTGTTGCTGCTGCCGCCGCCGCCGCTCGCCGAGCCTCCCTTGATGGGCTTAAATATGGCCGTGGTCGCGTAGTATTTCTCCATAGGCGGCGGCGGCACCGTAGGCGGCCTGGGGAATATGCTGCTCAGCGGTGGCGGCGGCGTTCGTCGCACATTCACATAACCGCCGCCGGCGTTGGCCATTTTCGAAGCCGGCATGTAGTCCTGCATATGGGGAACCGCATAGCCACCTTCGGGCACATCTGTATGTGGCCGCGGGGGACCAAACGCAAAAGACGCAAAAGGATTTCGCTTAGTCAGGCAAATGGCAAAGGTTGAAAGGTGATTGTGTATGCGTGTGTGTTTCTATGTGTTGTGTTTGTGTGTGCGTATGTGTGTGAGTGTGTGTGTGCTGGCAATCGCCGCAAAAATTTATTTGCATTAGTTGCTGGCGGCGCCATATTTTATGGCTCGCAGCGGAAATGGGCGAGCCAAGGGAATTGGGGTTTGAGGCATCAGGCTTACGGGCTCGGGCTCGTGCTCGGGCTCTGAGTATTGGGTAATGGGAGCTTTTGGCATACACACCTGTATAGTCTGGCGTCATATTACATTGTAAATCATTAACCGCTGCGTAGCCGTTCACGCCGCTCGTATACATGTTCACATTGAAGGGCTCGTGGTAAAGGCTGTTCTTGCCAATGGAGTCGCTGTCGTCGACGCTGGCCTGAAATATGCGTGTGTTAGTTGGTCGTGAAAAAGAGCAGGAAAATGCAGAATGTTTAATATAGTGACAAGTCGGGTATGTAAAAATATATGGGTGTTTGTGCTTTGTATGTGGGTAAATAGCATTTAGATGTTTAATGTGAGCATTTCATCAATTTCTTATAAATGTTTTTCTTCTTGAAGGAGCTGTGCTTATATTAAAGCTTTATTAAAACAACTAAATTTGGTTTAAGTCCTTCTGCTTTTACTTAAGACCATAAAGGTCTCCCATAAATTATATTTTCTATTTATTTTTATACTCTCTTTTCGTTTTATCCAATTATTTTATTATTTTAACTTTCAGTAATCAAATTAAATTATTTGATTAATAATTTATTAATAATTAATTAATTAATAATAAAAAATTATTAATATATTTTTTAATACTTTAAAGACATTTTAATAGCTGTTTCAATTTCGATATCTCATTTATCCACCTTTTAAGTGCTCATATGTATTGCATTGTAATTTCAAACCGCATTTCCTTTACTTTAAAGCAATTGCTTTAAAGCAGTTGCATTTAATGTCCTATGCTCCCCATGCACACTCGCCAACTTTAAAGTGTTACACACTCGCCACTTAAGCTTAGCACCCACAAGTCAAGGGTGGTTTGGCGGGTGGGTGGTATTGCTGGCCGGCCATTTGCCGGACAACGTTTGCTGGAACAGGCCCTATATAGGAAGCCGTTGAAAAGTTCTATTAAATAAAATAAATGCCGCTCGGCGTCTGGTCAAGTGTGGCATGGCTGAAAGAGCACATGCTGAGGACGTGGCAGCTGCACGCTACATTGAACAATTATGTGAAATTCGAGGCAGGAATTTGTCCTGCTGTACAGCCAGCACGGCTCCCTCTTTTATGTTCAGATATATATGTAGGTATATAGGTGTGGTTCGGTGTGGTAAGCTCACCTTAATGCTATTGCCATTGGGGCGATGCTTGTCGACATTGCCGCCCAGAGTGTTTGGATTGAAGCTGTATTGGAATGCATCGAGTACGTTGCTGCCACGGGCGCGCTTCGTGCGTGACACGATGAACAAAATGATGGCAACCAGCAGGATAATTATCGTGGTTAGAACAACAATGACAACACCAATGAAGTTTGCCTCGTTCGGTTCCTGATCAATGGGGCGTGGCGCAATTACTGCAAAGAGCGTCAATAAACAACAAACACAAAAAATTAAAATCCATTTCAATTAACATGCAAAGTGCAACAATTTTCGAACTGGCCAATCGAATGAAATTAAAAGTAAATATTGTTCAACTAAATAATTAGCAGAGAGGCCGAGCGAAACAAAAAAAAATACTAATTAAATTTATCAGCGAGCTGTTACTTACACTGCGGCCCGTTGTTGTAGCTGTTGTTGTTGCCGTTGGCATCGGTGGCGCCACCGTTGCTGGCGCCTCCAGAGACGCCGCCATTCAGTTTGTTTTTGTTATGATTGTGCTGATAGTCGTTGCTCTGCAAAGGATATTCGCGTGTATCCTGTGCAATGCCAGGCGCATTATTTCGCTGCTCCTGCTCGTCTGTGAAATTTCCCATCGCGGGCACTGCAGGAGCAAAAGAATAAACAAGCGTTATATAAAGAGCAAGAGAAAAAGAGAAAGAGAGGGGAGAGAGGGAGAGAGAGAGAGTCATTTATGGACAACATCAACTGAATTTCATCTTCAAAAGTTGCCGCTTCAATTTGAACACAGCTGCGCTTCAATGATTAGTTTTTCTCTTCATCATCTTTCGCTCTTCATTTCTTCGTTTCCTTTCTTTTTACACCTTTCGTTCCACATTAAATTGTTTTGCTTTCGCTACGCTTTTCTTGCCCAAGACCTTTAGACCTTTAACGTGTTCATTTCCTGTCAACCATTCGGGTTTTTATGTCGGGTCTCGGGCATTACTAAATTTATACAGATGTTTGATTTTTTCCAAACATTGAGACGCGTGTCTTATGCATATGCATGGGTTTTTTTTATAAACTTGCGCATATGGCGTATATAAGTATTTTAAGTACCAGTTTTTTCTACCTACTGCACCTACAAAAATTAACTGACCAGCCCATATATTATATGCTAAAAGGTTTCTGTTAACTCTTAGTTCATACTTCATTATGATTTTAACTTTCTCACTTAGTATGCTTACTAACCTCAAAAGCAGCTTTGTTGCTGCACCCCTATATCTCCAGTTTGAATAGGCTTATAATGCTGCCGTCCATATTTTGCGCAAGGCTTATCATGTTTTATACTGGGCTTGTCTCTTTACTATTAAATATTATGATTCTTATCTGCCTACGTCCACCCTTAGCTGAGTTCTGTACGGGTTTCAACAATCTGACATAACAATTTCCACGCTGACCTTATTCCCAGGCCTATGCCGCTTATTAGCTTAGATCTGTCATGCCCTGCAGGCCGCGCAACACAGCAACACCTGCTCGTCAGGCGTTCACTTTGATCTCTAATACCCCCAGCTTAGGTTTCTGCATTCCCAGCTCGAGCCCAGCTCCAGCATATGGCTCAGCGCTGCAAAGTGTTGTCATTTATCTTCGCTAACATCTTGAGGGCATAACAAAACAACAAAAGCAAAATGTAGCTGCTCCCGCGGGGGTGGCAGCAGCTTTTTGCACAGCAATCCCTCCTCCCTTCCCATACTCAAGACGCGCCCCCGGGCTAGCCAAAAAATGCCTCTTGAGTGGGTGACCCCGTTTCTCCAGACAGTAAATGGCGTAATTACTGTGTGAAGCTGTTGTTGCTGCTGTTTTGAGTTATGTCGCCTTCTTGGACACCAGCAGCAGCAGCAGCAGCAGTAGCATGAGCAGAAGCAGCAGCAAGGAGGACACAGGACGTCAGGCATGCCTCTAAAGTTTGTGCTTGGCTGCCTTTTGTTTCGCCAATGCCATTGTCCTTGTTGTCACTGCTACTGCTACTCCTGCTGCTGCTGTTACTGGTCGCTTCCTACTTACAAAGGCATATCTTGCATCTCTCGGTACTCAGCTCTTTGTGGTCGTCATAAAACGTTTAAAATAATTAAAATATTTCGAGCCACATTTATCACACACTGGGTGAGGGTGTACAAATAGAAATAATGGCAAATATGCCGCATATCCTTTTTATTTTCGCATTTACTTATTTTTTCCTTCTGTCGCATGCTCTTTATAACTAATTCTCTTTGTGTTTGTGGGTCTGTCACAGGGGTCTCTATTCTGTCATTGTTTTTTGGCCTTTGTATTTTTAGAAACCTTTAAATACAACTCCATAAAGAACAACAACAACAACAATAGGCACACGAGCTGCAATCACCGCAAGCAAATCTCACAAATTGGGGTTAAATCTCTGCAGTGCCTGATAAAAATATACGCACACACACTTGAAAGATGCTGCCTCTCTCTCCTCTGGTTGTACGTGCGTTTCTTTTGTTTACCCTTACCCTACTTTTTCGAGCCCTTCACGCGCTCTACTCCGCCCAGCCTCTACTCGATGTAGTGCACCAAAAAAAAAAAAAAAAACAACAAAAAAGTGGATAAATAAAAATAAAAACCAGCAAACAGCTGGTTTGCTAGTTGCTGCTAAGGCTGCCCCCCATTGCCCTGAACCCCCTCTTCCCCTCTCCACCTCCTGTGCCCCTCCTCAGCATCCTTGTGCGTGACAAATACGTCGTGGTGTTTGTTACTCGTCATGTAATTGCTGCCAGGGAAGGCGACGCAGCATGTGGTGCAACCGAGCGCGGTCTGAGTTCAGCCTTCGCTCTGTGGTTTTTCGCCTGAATATCCTTGGCTCAGATGGACGGCTGTCAGATGTTAAGCACAACCCAATGCCAGTTTCCCAATATAAAAATGTGCTTTGTAATGCTCGGTAGCCGAACTGATCCACTGACGATCTTTGAGTGCGCTCTTTGCTGCTCTTCAACTTAAAGTCTCTATCCGAACCTTCTGTGTATTCCCTTTGTACTTCTTTATTTGTAAAGAACTGCGTTGTTCTCAAAATGAGTTGCTAAAACGAATGTTGCTTATAGCAAACAATGAGAAGGTTCCTTTTCTTGTGCGATCATTTAATGCTTCTACGTGAATCGGTATAAATTAAACTTTTGGAGTTGAATATTTGGTAAATTTATTGCTAATTTCCTACAGATATTGTTCTAATTTATAGATTAACTATCGAAGAAGTATAGACATCATATTTGGCATATTTGCTTTCTCTTTCGAAACTCCCCCTAATCGATAATTGTGTATTTTCAATATAAAATTCTTTTTAATATTTTGAAATATCATTTCTCAATTTCGATTGATAAAGCTGTTTCAGCATTTCTGAATACACCTTTTAAGTTTTTCTACAGCTCTTTATATTTTCAAATTTCTTTCATCATATAATCTTCTCAACATTACTTTTTTCTTTTCACAATTGATTTATTTTCTATAGTTTCCAAGCTTTTTGTTTCTCCATGAACAATTTATGATATTTTCCTTATATACCACAAGTTTTGTGCCTGTCTATTCATCATTTATATGCATTCACATTCTCTAGCTCATATTATTGAACTATAAAATCTCAGTTACTTTAGGATTTATAAGCGACTTCCTTCCTATAAATACATTAAGCCTACAACGCAGCTACGACTGTCTGCCTGCCCTCCTCTGCCATCTGTGGAAAATCCCCTATTCATGCGGCACGCTCTATTTGACTCATCAATCAAATGCCGTTGGCAGACTGGCAGTTTTATCCCCTATTCATTTTCACACCTACCGCGCGTAGATTTTTATCCCCATTGAATCAATGAATATAAATGATCTCTGGTTCAGTGACCGATCCTACGATGTTAACAGCATTGTAGCCTCTAAGCAATTTGTGACCATCCCTAAATGTGAACCCAACGTGCCATGAAAATATTGTCCAAATATCTGTTGGATTGTGCGGAAGGGGGGCAGCCTAAATATTTGCCCGAGCATCCTTGCACTTGGTACAATTTAATCAGGACTGGGACACGGAGACGGCATTCATAGCAAATGTAACTGAAAAATGCCATGCATGCAGCCAGCCAGGCATACAATGCATTGTCCTTTAGGGGGTTGCATCTACCCCTAAGCCCGAGCTGCTTGTTTACTTTTGCATGCTGAGGGACTGCCTGAGAGTCGGAGACACCTCATTCTATTCCATGGGCTGTGGGTATTTTATTGACTTTAGTACCCCTACCCCTCCTTCTCTAGCACACTCCAATCCACACCCCACAAGAGTTGCCTAAAAAAAAATAAAAAGAAAATTGTACTAAAAAGATTTTCCCGTTCGGGCCGCTTATCTCGCCTGTCTCTATCTCTATCTCTACCTAGCGCATTGTTGTTAGCCAAATGTTGGAAAATGTTTTGTACTCTCGTTGGGCTCGAGCTCTTTTTTATCCTCATGCTAAATGTAATGCATTGCACATTGTTGTTCTTGTTATTTTTGTTGTATTCCCTGTCACACACTTGAAAGTGAAATGAAGCTGAAAAATGCATTTGCAGTCGTCGCGTATGCAGTTCCTTTTTTCAGTATGCCAAATGCAATTTTCGGGCAATTTGCGCAGCCATTTTTTATTCCTCCTTTTCTGCTGGTTAGTCACGTACTTACCGGATATAAAACTGATCTCGGATAGCATAATCCATTTGACAGCAAAGTACAAATTGATTTTCAGATATTTGCCCACACGATGATGCAGCTTTATTGTAACATCTCGGGCATGATCCATTATGGTATCGGGCATATACGAGAACTGTACGGGCTCGCCGGAGAAGTAGCGTCCACCAATGCTAAAGAAGACCTTAGCATGGACAAAAACCTAAACATGGGTGAATAGAAATTCAAAATGAATTAGTTGATTATCAGAAAGGAAAATTGTATTCATGTTCTAAGAGCTAAATCTGTTACAGATATATTTTAGACATATCCGAAAACATTATTGAAGTTGTTCTTAAAATATTTACTTGAGTTTCAAATTTAGCTAAGCATCAATAATATTTTAATAATGCCCTTGGGCTCTAATCGACTTCATAAATCATGTAGGGCTTACACTCACCTGCACATCCTTAGTATACATATTGTTTGTATGCAAAACGATGGCACTGAAATTGCGCACCGTATCGAATTCAAAAACAATTTCAACGGGTTTGCCCAACAGACCGGGCGTATCATTTCTCCAGCCAATCCATTCGTAGCCTAAAAAAAAAGCAAACATAAAATAGTAAAAGACCATCCATATGAAATATACAATGAAATGTATCGTCATTTTGTTAGAGTTTATTTTTTTTTCGTTCCCGAAAAAGGGAAAAATATAATCAATAGGCCAACCCGGCGGCACATATGCTCCAGAGTGGCATGTAAAGCTATTTAAGCCCCCCAACCGAAGTCAATGGCACTTTGGGGTGAAGTTTCGTAGCCCAAAACAAACAAATGCTCACGGCAGGCGACAATGGGATGGGTTGAGTGGGGCTTGGCGGGCGACTATGTGGGGATGGCCGACTGCTCATAACTAGAAATTATGGCCAAACGCGACATTTAAGCCATTTCTTTTCACTGTTTTGTTTGCATGGCCCTAATTTGCCTTGAATTAGGTGGGCAGCTGGCAGAGATGGGCCTTTGGAGTCTCTTAGAGGCCAGGAAGCATTTAAGTAGCGCTTCATTAGTCATGCAATATTAACTAGCTATGGTAGCTGTGCTCCAAGCAGAAATTATACAATTTCCAGTTGAGGCATTTGGGGTAGAAGTGAAATATCAATGGGCTGTCAGGCAAGGGGCGGCGCCTTTTAACCATATCGATTGCAGCTGCTTACAATGCAAATAAGCCAAATGCCAGGACATAATAATCATATAGAAGATGGCCATTCAATTGTCAGCGATGAAAAATAATGCGCTAAAACTTTTCCATTGGCTTTCCTGCAATGCGATTGCGCTTTATGTGTGTGTCTGTCGCGACGACGACGACTGCATGTCTAATTGTCTGTGCGAACTTTTCTACTTAAATTCGCACAGCGCAAAGTTTTCAATAATTTCGATTATTGGCCATTTGCCAAAGCGCCAGCGAAAAGGCAAAAAAAAACAGGAGAAATGAGCTCCGGCAAGCCGAAAACGAAATACCCTTCTGGGCATTTGGTTTATTGCGAAAGCTTAGTTGTTTTCGAAGGAGTAATAAAATAGGTCTAGCGTTGACTCTGATCTAAAATGTATATATGCCTCATAGAGGCGTATATGTCTTCTCGAATGGCTTACACATTTCATGAGAAAGCTATAATACCCGCCACAAGGGTATATAAATATCGATAGAGACAAAAAAAAAACAAGACTTGCGAAAATTCGCAGTTTGCCAGTTGCGAACTTTTGCAGCCGCCGGCTCGGAAATGAATGCCAGTGTTGCCATAAATTATCAAATATGCATAATGTTTACATTTTTACAGGCGCATAGTTCACAGGGCGGTTCACTTTGTTGCGCTGTGGAGTGTGGTGGAGGGAAGTGGTTCGGTTCGGTTCGGTACGGTTTGGCTCAGTTCGGTGCGTTGTGTACTAGGTTTTGTATCCGGCCAAGTTTACTGCGACGCCAGCAAATAGTCCCAAGTTATTATTTATTTTGTTTATTGTGTTGTGAGGCAAATTATTTGCAGGCCAAAAGTTTTGCCTGGCCACGCCCTCGAACACACAGCCCCTTTCCCCTTCGATGTTCAATGAAGTGAACTTTCGGCTTGGTCGCCCTGTTCTGGAGTTTGCCTTATGCTTTTTCTGTCGTTGAACTTTTGTAATTATTTGATGTTAATCAGTTTTTTCTATTGCAATAAATCTTTACACAGAGGGGGCCGATTTCACCAGCTAAAAAACACAGCTTTAGCCTAAACATATGGAGAAAGTTTGCGCTATGTCCATGCAAAAGTGAACCTTTAAACGGCAACAAGCTTTTAGCCCGTTTTGGGTCGAAAGGGTTAACTTTCAGAGCGTGCTCTAATGAGCGAGGTGGCACCAAGTGAAATAAATGTTAACTTATGCATATAGCTTTAAATATTTGTGATATCTTCAATACATTTGTAGGAAACATCGTTGTTTGACGGTTCGATCCCTTAACCTGATGCTCAAGCGGCTTAAAATCGAAATGCACTTACCTTTGCCAAAGCCGTGTATATCCGTGCGGAAATTATCCTTGCCTTTCTGTCCGTCGACCAATTGACCCAAGCCATCGACATAGCGATCGCCCTGCTCATTGCCATCGTAGGTCTTGTCCGATAAATCCACTTCCATGCCCCGCTGCACGCCCTTCGGTATGCTATACGAAACAATGCCCTCTGGAATGAAAAAGAAATTGAAAAATGAAATTTTAAATAAAGCGATGCACAATTCGAGGAACTAAAACTCAGAACCCACAACCTTCTAAAGTAACTCGAGCCGCCTACACAGACATACGCACACACACCCACACATGTATATATATATATCAAAATATATACGTATTACTTCCTCTCGGTTCACATCACGTCATGTCACGTCACGTTTCGTGTCACGTGACACAGACAAACGAGTGACAAAGCAAGTCTCGAATTTGTGTTTGTGTTGGTTTTTAAACTGCGGTAAATTTAAAGTTTTTCCCCAGTGCTAAGCTGGCAACAACTTTTTCCAGAGGCGGGCTGCTAGCACAGTAGCATATAGGGGGGGCTTAGTAGCGGGGCAGGATATTGAGTTACTTGAAACATAATTTCGTTTTGCGGCCACTTTTGTCTTTTGTCTGCCATTTGGTTTCTGTGGTTATTTTTAGCAAAGTGTCTGCCCCAGAAGGGGAAGAGGCAAAAGTAGAGAGTTTAGTTTTAAGAGTTTAGAGTTTGGAATTGGGGATTTGGGGGTTGGCTGTTCGTATGCTCGGCCATACATAGTTTTTCAATGTCAAAGTCACAGTGGCTGACAGACCACAACAACAACAACAACAACAACAGCAACTGAGTCATGCTTTTGTGGCTGAGTTTATAAAGTGTTTTGATGTTTGTTGAAGGATTGTTTGGGATTACGTACAGGCCCGAATAAGTGTTGGTTAACGCCTAGCAAACAGCACCTGACGCTAATTACCAGAGCTACAGCAACGGATAAGTACGTACGTTACCCAACAAAACAATTACATTTAGATCGAAAAACAGCAGCAACAACAACAACAACAGGGTTGCCAGGGCACTCAAAATAATTACACACAAAGCTCAAACTGTTGGGAAGTGAGAGGGGTTTGCTTGGCTAATTTACTCGCATTTCTATTTACACAATCGGACTCGTGGCAAGCACACGACAGGACAAACAGTCAAAGGCATTTTCCAATAATTACCAAAAATCACATAATTACACATAATTACCGGGCCGCGCAACGAATACGAATCGGGAAAACATAGCCTGAATCGCAGGCAACGCACTGGGCATAGATAATAAGGAAGGGGGAGGGCGGGCACAATCGGGAATATATCACGCGCGTGTGTGTGTATGTTTGCATAAGGGGGTGATGGCTGGAGGCATTGAGAGGCACCTACAAATATTAATTATTATTTAATTTATTTATAATGTGTATGGGCAGTCGTCAACGACAAAAAAGAAACGCCACACTTAATTACAGGAATTAGGGCAAAGTCCTTGTCTCGGCCACTTAAGCACACACACACACACACGCACACACACAGCGACCAGAGCGACCATCAGACAGAGAGATAAGCCTTCATTATACAAGTACACGATATGCGAGGGATATACATATACTTATATACTATATGCCATATGGGATATTTAATTAACTGCAAAGACATTTAAGGCAGCGCGTTTTACAATTGCGACGCGACATCTTTCACGCAACGTCCACAAATAATCCCCCCTTCCGATCCCTGGTGGAGCCTGGGTGGACACTTCCACTTAAGCCTTGTTATTCGCGTGCTCACATGCGATTTTTATTTGCGTGTCGAGAGAGAAAGAGACAAAATGGAAACTGCCAAAAAAAAAAAAAAACAAGTAACAAAACGTAGTCCTCACAGTGCGTGCAACGGCCTCCAGAAAAAAAAAAAAACAAGCTCATATATACATGTTATATGCCTGTGTTGTCCAAGACAAAATCGGGCAGTGAGCAACTACAATATATATAAAATGTAATTTGCTTCCTCTTTTCTTTGCTGCCCCCGTCACGCAAACAAATTCACAATGGGTACGACGACGTCTGTGAACTTTGCTGATGAGTCAAATTGAGCAGCAGTTGAATAAATAAATGAATAAATAGTTGGCTGCAGACCAGCCAACTTGTGGCGTAACAACTCCACTTAGTTGTGAGTTATAGGTGAAATTTCTATACGCAACCAGAATAAGGGAAAGTTACCAAAACGAAGTACAGAAGCTACGCAGGCAGGGTTGAAATCGCCCACAAGATTTCTGAAGATATTATTATCAAACATGTGCCATAGATAGTTTATATTTGACTTACATAAAGTCATTTTCAACATTTAGAGAACTTGGCTAAGAGAGTCTGGCACTCTGTGTATGGTGAGGGAAGAAACAGACTTGTATTTGTATTTGGTATATATTCCTAAACACCATAAGCTGCCAATTCTGTTGAGATCTAAAGGCTTGCTATGCCATATTTTATTCATATGCTCTGACCATATGTCTATTTCCATTTACTTAATAGCCTTAGTATGTTATTGGATTAAATCTCCAATTAAAATACCTGCTACACCTCTTCGAATTTTTTGTGCTACAAAACTATTTCACACTCTTGACTAACATAGCTCCCACAGTGAGCACTCAACAAACACCTACACAAAGACCATCGATTAAAGCTCAACTTTCAATTTCCATAATGGCCTAATACTTGGGCTTAATGCCCCCAAAACACTCATAAATTATTCACATCGCTTTGTAGCGGGCACTCATAAATCTAGAGCTCAACGCTAATCAGTTGTTGCATTTGAAAAAAATAAATAAATAAAATAAAAATAATGCACTTTAGCATATGCATAAAAATCCCCATCCAAACTTCAAACGAAATCCGTTGTGTGGATTCGAATGCCAAGGGCTAAGCCGTTGTTAAATCGAAACAAATTTGTATTTAGCTCGATGGGAAATCAGAGTGTGTCACTTGCCCCGAAGATAATCTGCAGCCATGACGTGACCATAGCCCGAACCGGCTAGACCCTGCCTCCCTACCCGGCTGCCCTCAGCTCGATTAAGCCCTATTTGTTTATGATTGTGACGGCGCTTCCAGAGCAAACAGCAACAAACCTGGGTGTGGTCTAGAGCAGCGCTCTATCCATGTAGGTGTGTCCATTGATTTGCATTTAAATGCTGCGCGTTGGAAGTCGGTCCCGCCAGTGGCAGAATTTATGGCCACAATTTATAAACAATTATGATTTCGGTCTAAATATCTCTAAGAGCTGAAGCGCATCGATGAGATTAATGTGTGCCATAAAAGTTTGTGCCAGTTGAGTTTTGTCAATGCGCTCGTTACCTGGCAGTTTTATTGATTTCTTTGCGCCGTCTGTCTGGCACTTGTCTAGACCCCCAGACTATGGAGCCCTATGAAGCCTCATGCCATCTTATCTCGTTTAATTTGCATATGAAATGCGCTCTGTACAACTAAATTCCCCAAAGCAAATCAAATGACATGCCCCCATTTAAGGGGCGGTCAGTTTGCATGTCTGGGCCCCACCAACCGCACAGAACTCAACCACTAAAGGGCGTGTACATAGTTCTGAGACCCCAACACAAATGGCGCCAGTTATCAGGCCCCAAAGCCCAACCACACAATGCGTTAATTTACGGAATAATTTTGACTTCCGCGCCCGGTTTCCTAGTTCCCCCCGGTAAAGTGTTCGACTAGTGCTGCCACTTCAGCTCATTTCTAGCTAAATATGGCTGTTTTTAGAGGACATCAGACGGCAATTTGCACCTGCCATCAATTCTAGCTATTGTTAAAGTTGTATTTTTTGGTACCCAATATAACAAAAAGTATCGGATGCATATGTTGCGACCCTTTGCCATATTGCTAAGTTCTTTCAGCTATATTTTAGTTTTGAACTAGCCACCATTCCGTTTTGGGAAAAGGAATTTAATTGCGCTACTTTACCCAATTTTTTTGTAGCGATAGTTTGCAACACTGCCAAAAGAAGAAAGTAAGCCTTTCTTAGTGCTTCTCAGAAAACTGCTAATATGGTGGCAACTCCTCGCCTTTTGTGTCCCACCATTACTCATTTAATATAAGAAAATATTTACATTTAGCTTTTTAAAGCTATTTTTAGCTAAAATTTTTTGTTGCAACACTGGCCCCAAGCAAAAAGCTGACTCTGACTCTCTGGTTCTGGTCAAACAAATTGTCATTAGGCGCGCGCGTTGTTGTTATCGCTAGTACCTGGAAATTATAGAAAAATTTGTTTGTCCAGACTAGTTATAGTTGTTTTTTTTTTTTTTATTGTTGCTCGTGCACTACTTGACAATTGCGTGCAAACATCGACAACGGGCCGTCCAGACGACAACAACAACACGCGTTGGCTTGTCGTCTGCATAGTTTCTCAGCCAGCTTTGTCGACGTCTGGATTTCGATTTGGTTTCGGTTTTGCTTTCGGATTCTGGCATGGGCTGAGCCAATGTCTGCACGCGATATATTTTTTTCAAGTACATTTCGCATGTTGCAACCCAACAACAACAGCAACAACAACAACAACATAACAACATTGCGTGGTGCCTCATGTGTTGGCCAAATGTAAAGCAGGCAGAAGGGCTTCAAAAGAAAACATAGGCGCAGTCGTTGCTATGATTGGATTATGCGGTTTGACTAATACGCTGCCCATAATACCATGTTTTTCTTTGAGCTGAGCAATTGCGATAGGGTTTTGGGGAAGAAAAAAATTGGCGCATTTACAGCGAAAGCGGTCAACAATAATACGAGTTCCGTTCTAAGGCGATAACTTGCCAAATTGCTAGCATTTCGAGCTAAGTAAAACTTGCATAATGCATGGGGCAAAACAATTCAGAAGGAAGCATCAGAATGCAGCAATTATTTGAAGATATCTTCCCTAACGCTCCTCTCCTGCCGCCTAAACTTTAAAAGTAATGTTAATTAAGCTCTTATGATTGTCTTTAAAAAAAAACCTCTAAAACCTTATTGCTTAGAAGCCGACAGTATGCATCTACAAGTTTTTCCAGGGAAAGAAAATTTAGGAAAAATAGAAAAACGGCTGCTATTTTAATACGGATTCAGTTTGGAACTGTGGAATAAAAATGACAATCTCCAAACCGCTGAGCTTGATATTTATAAAGAAAAAAATAATCCCATTTTCCTTGTGGTGCATACAGTCAAAGTAGCTGAACAGCTTCTTCTAATATCTGAGAGCATGCCAAGCCTTATAAGCAGAGTTTTTCGCATAGATTGTTGCCTCGGTATGCCGGATCTTAAGTTTTCCAAAGCTATGCTAATGCATTGCTGCATCATAAAGCCACACTCTCACACACGCACACACACACACATCTATCGCTAACTACACACTTAAGCCGCTTTGGCTTGTCTAATAGACACACAGAGCCAGCGTCTAGCTTCCACTGGCACTGGGCACTCCTCTTCGAGGAGCATCGGAGCGCGATGATAAATTAACGCTGACACTAAAACTCTGTTAGCCTTTCCGCGCTATCATTGCTCATGTCGAGTTTTTATCGCACTCGTTTAAATTCGCCTCCGGACAGCGACTGCGATTCGGAGAGCGAGGAGCTGAAGCAAGTTGGACAAGGGACTTACCTTCCCAGGGGCAACCGACGATCTCGGCGCGCAGGCAAACGGTGCGATCGTATTGACCATACGGATATATGCGTATCTTTGAGGCAAAGATAATCGGCTGCAGTGCGTTCTCCACCTCGCTGTAAGTGTTGATGTTGCCGGGCAGAATCTGTGGAGTGAGTTGAATTGTGGTGATTCTTAGTTGGGTTAATTGAAGGCCATCCTTACCTCTTTGCCCTGGGTGTTCTTCCAGCGCTGCCATTTGTCAAAGCCCGGTCGCCAGTATTCGAGCACATAGGCCTCGGTGTACTCCTGACCCTGACCCTTGCCGTAGCGACCCTGTGTCCGTATGGCGGTTATCACATGCGTCTGCAGCAAGTCCACCTGCAGATATTCCTTGAGCGCATTCGATACCATATGCTTGGGGCACCAGGCACCGCCATTATTATCGGTTTTCAGTCTGCAAAGAGTCAGATAGAGAAAGAGAGAGAGAGAGAGACGGAGAGACGACAACTTTATTAATTAGGCTTGCAAACGGTAGCTGCGCGAATAACCAGTTGCGCAGGCGGTTCGCTAGTAAAATTTTTATAAATTAATTGACATTAAACGTGCGGCACCACACGGCGTCGGAGCCTCAGCCGCAGGCTCCAGTCAGTGGCAGCACCAGCAACAGCTACAGCTACAGTCTTAGCCACCGCCAAAGCCACTGACATTGCGGCCCAAATGGGAGGGAGGGGGTCGATTGGAGCTCTAGCTGGAGCCTGGCACTGGTGGACGTTTGTCTGGCAGCTCGTCTCGTTCGTTAAGCTGTTGCGGTTTTCGACGCAGCAGGATGTTGTCTATGTAATTAAGGATTAATTTAAGTTAGACACAGACGGCTGGACGGCAGGATGTTCGTGCGTGCATGTGCCTGTCCGTGTGTGTTTGTGTGTGTGTGTGTGCTGCCTCCCCCCTGCTACTTTAATCAATTTCGCCTTCAGCCTCTCGCCTAGTATTGATATGTTAACCACTACAAATACGTTTTTCGGTTTATATTTCAATTAAGTTTTACATGCTTGATTGCATTTTGGGGCCTTAATGTTTGCCCATTATTCATCGGCTGTGACTAGGCCTAGACCCCTGCCTGATTCCAGCCTCGCATCTGGCCCTGCCCTACCCCTGGCCCCGCCATTGCCCCGCATTCCCCAGCCAGTTGTCGTTGTTGTCGTCTTGCAAATTGCTTCATTTTCTGTTGCCTGTCTTTGGCAGCAGCTGCTGCTGAGTCTTAGGCCTGAACCTGTGCCGTAGCCAGCAGGTTATTGAATTTGATTGCAATATTTATTTAGTGGCCGACATGCGTTTAATGCATTTTTGCAATTTGTTATTTATATTTATGTATGTGCCTGGCGTGTGCATCGAGTGCAATTAGTAATGTCTTCCGCATCAATTGAGAGGTTTAGACTTATAATTGTGGCCCTTTTAAGTGTTTGCGAGTAATTTAGGATTGAATGGTTATGACTAGTCTTGAAACTCAATTTAAGCACATGACTTTCTTAAAGGAATTTGTTGTAGTTGAAAGTAATTTAGTAGAAAATTCATTTCAGAGCGGCTGTAAAAGAATTCCTTTAAAATGCTAGCGTATAAGGAAAGCTTTAGATTGTTATGGCAAGTCTTCCACTTTCCATTTCCTTTGAAGCATTTTGACGCTTTAGATAGTTTCTAGCACAGAGCGGCGGCTCCGCGAATCAAAAATGCATCCACTTAAACATAATTTAATTTAAAAGTCAAAAGATTTCCACCAATATAAGCCTTGAAAAACACTACAAATGCTTTGAACACTTTCTTTGTGCTCTTATTAATATGCTGACCGCAAGCTGCGTGTGGCTTAGCACACTTCCTCTGGCCAGCCCGTGTTATAATCATTACCAACTGCAATTACTTTCAAGTGCATAGATCAGAGTTACTTTATTAAAAAAAAAAAACTTAAAGAGCTCCCACAACTTGGCAAAAAAAAAGGTCAATTTAATCATCATAAAATTGCTTAGAGATTTTTTTTGCCCGCCCGCTTCGTGGACTGCCCAGGCAGACAGGCTGGGAGGCAGGCAGTAGCTTGTGGAAGTGCTCGGAAAGCAAATAACCTAAAGGCATTGCAGAGTGCACAGAGGAACAGAAAAGGGCAGAGAGAAAAATCGGAGTGAAATACGTATAAACATCATTTAAAATGCTAATATCCGCAGTTATGTGCATTTCAACTTGACTTTAATTATTGTTATTGCCAAAGTTAACAATCTGCGCCGTCGTCGGCTGCTCATTTCAAGCGGCTGATGGACTAACTAACTGCTGGCTGCCGGGCACTGGCCGAACTCTGGACTGGACTCGGACTGGCTTTGGCTTCTAATCAAGCGCCGCCTGCTGAATGGCGAAAGTATTTTTTTCTCGTTTTTTTTTTTCTGCCCCTTTCTGCTGTTTTTAATATGTAAGAGGTTGTAAATTTAATGGCCTGACGGCCGTTGGACGCTGGGCGAGGTAATGAAAATCAAACAGCGCCAACTGTCATTAAACTAATCTTTGTAATTCAATAGCTGCAGACGACCAGCATGGACAACGTCAACGTCAGCGTCAACATAAAGCGTTCCATGTTCGCGCATCCTGTTTGCCCCAGAGGGCTTAGGGCTCAGATCGGAGATTTCAGGGCTCTGGGGGTCTCTTTGCTCAGTAGGCAAATGCGCGTGATTTGTTTTAAGTGCATGTTTTTTGTAATGAATTACTTTAAGTTCGGCTGGAGTTTTGGGCTAGTTAGCTGCCTGGTTAGCTAAGTGCACGGCAGCCACAAATTATAATGCTGCCTGCACTTTTGAACTTTGCTTCATGGCTCTGGAACTTTGGTTAAGCAAATTGCAGTGCGCTTGATTGGACTTGGTTGGTGGGTGGTTAGTTGGTTACCAAGGTGCAGGGGGAAAACGCGAAGGAAAAAGACAAAAGAAAGTTCCAGCTAGTTTTGAAGAGTTTGTTGCGCTGTGCGGCAGTCATTGGGTTAAGCCAACTTGAGTTGGTTAAGGTGAAAGGCTGCCATTAAGATTACAGAGAATTTAAGGAAACTAAAGCATGCTCAGATGCTTCAAGAGAGGATTATATAAGGAGCTTACTAGACTGACTCAGAAATCCATTAATGATTAAAAAATCTAAATAAATCAATCAATAAAATCATGTACTAAAACCAAATAAATACTTTGCGTACCTGTCCTATTAAAAATCTTAAAACCCAGTAAAAAGAAAATAAATGGTGTACTAAAAGTATGCTAAACACTCTTAAATGAATACTTGTGTTCGTCAATTAATCAAAGCTTTCTTTATTTTATTCCAGTTTTAAGCAAACCCTAGGAAAAAGTTTGATTACCCCTATATCTATTGAAGAAACCCCTATAAACCCAATTGAAGAGAAATCAAAATGTGTACTAAAACTGCACTAAAGTGTCTTAAACGAAAACATAAGCTAATAGCTCGCTTAAAACTGTTTATAATTTATGAGGACCCTAAGAAATCCCAAACTATTGTGGAACTCTGCTTAGTGAACGCAACAACGTAAAAAAATGCATTGCCCGCTAATCCATTTCATTTGCCATTAAGTTTCGAGTCACTTAGCTGCACAACAACCACATCGCCTGTCAATCCACAGCACTTTGCCCACCACAAGCGACTAACTATGCAGCACCAGCAGAAACCACCAGACACGACTCCCCGCTCAGGTGAGTCAGTTGTCGAGAGCCCAGCAGCAGCAGCTGCCATTGGCCAACAGTTAAGAGCCCGCAGCGAAAAGAAACATATCAAATGCAGAGACCCCAACCCCAGCCCCAGCCCCAGTCCCAGCCCAAACTCAAATCCAAGTCCAATTCCAGTACCGCAGGCTTTGTCTTTAGCTTTTTGTATGTTCAACTTTGCCTCGTTGGCTCTTTAGTAAAAATTCCAGTTAATCTGCCTGGGACAAAAACAAAAACAAGAAAATATATATATATATGTATATATACATATATATATTTTTTGTTTATCTCAACGTGCTCATCACGCATCGTTTTGTGGTTTTACTTTAGTGCCGCCATAAAGGGTTAATGTTAATGATGCCTTTGTGGTCGCAGTCCGTCTGTCAGTCTGTCTGTGCGTCTTTCTCTCTTTCTGGCAGTCAGCCCTGCACTTGAGTGTTTTTTAAGTGCATGTCTATAAACGCAGACAGCGAATTATTACAGAAAGCGAGAAGAATCTGTGGCAAGTATATATGTGTATATATAGAAGAGCCGATGTTTGCATTGATTTTGCCGTAACTCACGTGGTAATTGACATGTTTATGGTTTGAATGAGTGCTTTACTTTATATAGATGTGGCTGGTGTGGGTTATGTGCGAGTTAACTTCTGATATCCTATACTAATTATACAGCCAGACAGCGGTCTGATGGTGTCATCAATCATTTGCAACGAGCAGCCGTGGCAATTGCAAAACTTCCGCCCCAATCTTTTGACCCGCATTGCCTCACACTTCCCGTAGAGTCATAAAACTTTAATTCAAACGAAATATGCGTCAATAAAAAGTAAACAAAACCTCAACGAACTAAAAAAAAAAAGAAGAAAACTATATAAAACTCAACTAAACTTGTCTAGCCAGCTGGCAAATGCATTCAGTTCAGCTCAGCTTAGTTCAGTTCAGTTTCTGTGCACTGCTTCTGGTATATTTGTGCCCTTTGGTTGAACCGCCTTGTGAACCGGTTTGCGGTTTGCAGTCGCTCCACATTGAAATTGCATTTAATTAGTGGAGGGAAAAAAGGGCTGCCGACACACTCGGCCACACTCTATTCAGATTTCGCTGTTGGGGCCATTAAACGGTTGCCCGGGGCCCTTGCTGCATATTCATGAAAAGATTTCGAACAGATTTTCCTGTTGCCCGAACCCGCGATATCTCTTAAAGCGCGCTAGCTCAACACCAAATATTTTTCCAACTGATATGCAAAAACCCTTTTGTATTTGGTTTGGAATTTCGTATTTGCTTTTCGATGGGACAACTGTTTGTGTCATCTATAACATAAGTTTTTCTAGTTTTTGTTTGTTTGACGCTTCTTTTCAATCGCTGTCTGAGATTTCGTTTTTATAGACTGTCTGTCTTATCGCGCTAATGAAGTTGTCTATAAAATTGGCAATTAAACGAACACGCCGGGGCATTCATGATAATCTATGCAGTGGGGCCAGCCACTCCCCCCGGCTGGAGACAGTCGTCCGGGCAGCTTTGGGTTAAGTGCTTACGTAGGTGCTACAGCGCTGACCTCCAACCTCGGAATTAGACATTAAAAAAAAAAAAAACAAAATATATTTGACATGTAAAATTATGATTTTCTTTTCTGAAATGAAATGTTTTTAAATTAAACATCAGAGCTCGAGAGTTTCTTAAACAAGCAGCATTTGCTGATCTATAAAGCTATCTCTTTGGTTCATTTGTACTGTAAATATTCTAACAAATTATGTCAGAAATTACAAGATTTTCTTGTTTTTTCTCTAGTAGCAAGATAATAGTTCGATTTGGTTGACTACAATTTTCTTATAGCCTTTGCCTTTCGGAGAAACATGTTTTCAACTTTATTTCAGCTACGTGTTTTTACTTATTTATTATATTATTATTATTTTTTGATATTTGATATTTGACATTTGATATTGATATTTGACAGTTAAACTAAGAATTTTAGCTTTATATAGGATTTTATTTTATTAAATTTAAAGTCAAACTCATATTGTGGCTTAACTAAAACTTGATCATAACTCACCTTGCGTGTTGTGGCCCAACGAATCCCGTGTCATGGGCTGAGCTAGCTGTGATTTGAGCATCTGTAATTGCGCCGGATTCCATGCCCAAAGGCACATTGCACGTTGCTATAAAATAGAAAAGACAAAAAAAAAACCATAAAATATTAAAAATGTTCAGAGAAAAAAGCAAAAAAAAAAAATAACGTTAATTAATGATGGATGCGCCTTGCATCTCGCGTGGCGGGCGCGCCAAAGTAAATTTAGAATGTCCGGGTGGGTGGGGCTGGATCCCAGTGGCCTGTGCTCTTCTCGGCCAGCTCCATTGCAACGCCCATCAAATCTATCAAAATAAGTCAAGCGTCAATTTGACTTTTCTCTTTTGACATTTGAACGGGCCGCAACAGGGCGGTGGCACGCCCAGTTTTGTATGTGTCTAGTGTCTGGTCCCCGGTGTAGGTAGGCCTATCACTTTCCCATGGCTCAGAGCAGAGACTGCGACTACTATCTGCTTTTAAATAAGGCAAACACTTAATCATTGCCAAAGTCAAGCCGAGCCGGGCAGAACGTCAACTACTTTACTTAATTTATTGCCTACCGATTGCATTTCGCAGGCCCCATCAAGCCCCTACCCCTGCCCTAGGTTGCCTTTTGATATGAATTGAAGTTGAGGCTGGAGCTGGAGCCCCCGCCGCCAACAGCTGGTTGTCTGTCTGTCTGTCTGTCGAGCTGACTGGCTGGCTGTCTGACTGCCTGCTGACATTTTCGCCAGAATCAACACTGATTTGACATGACTTTTGTTGCGCAGGCACAGCATGGACCAGCTTCCAGTTCCCAGCTCAGTGCTGCAGTGCCTCCTGCCCAAGGTGCGTGCATTCGTTTAGAAGTTTATAAATAAACACACACACACATATACACACAGAGACAGAACCTGGTAGAGGCGCTTTTTGCATTCGCACTTGATTGGATTTGATAGCTGGCAATGCTAATGGGAACTGAAGCTGCTCTGGAAAAGAGACTGAAACTGAGGCTGGGCCAGGGCTAGGCCGGGTCAGAAGCCGTTGCCTTCGACTGCATATTGCAAGTGCATTCATTTGGAAAATTGTTGCATGTTTTGTTAACTCAACTCACTCGATGTGTCTAGCACAACAACATCAAGAACAACATCAACTAGAAGAGCAACTAAGGCACTTCCTCTGCTTATTTGCTTATGTGGGCGCTTTAGGGCGGGTGGCTGGGCAAATATTGAAGGCATCGACAAGCCATGTAAGAAGGCAGTTTTGCATCGACTTCGAGTGCTGAAGATGAACATGTTTATAAATTCGTATTTATGTATTTGGCTTGCTTGATTAACTATAAATATTATGGCTTAGATTTGATTTAGAGAAGACAAAGGCTGGCAGCCAGGCAGGCAGGCAGTCTGGCTGGCGGGAGGAGGGGTTGCTCTGTTTATGCAATATGACAGCTGCAAGTTTGCAGGAAAACTTGTGGTCGACTCTGGGAAAATGTATAAATAAAAGAAGCTGCAAACGAGTAAACTACGCAACTTATTACAAAGTTGGAAAGAAAAAGCTATGAAATAAATGAAACTATAGTTGTTTTTTCTTTCTTTTCTTTTTCATTTTTTTCAGATTTCACAACAATTTTCCACTTTTGTCAGCTTGGAAGAGCAAAACGAATTTATATGGAAATCTTAAGGTATGTAAATCAATTTAATCAAGTCAATCAAATCTAAAACTATATTTCTAGACATATTACATACATTATATATCGAGTACTTTTTGTTCGTTTTTTCCCTATTCAAATTAGAGGGCTAACTGAATTAATATTGTTTCATATTTAAATACAAAACTAAAAACATTTCGCTTTATTCCTATAATTCCTATATCCTATTACTATAATTTTTGCATAATCAAAATATGCTTTTCCCTCTAAAAAATTAACGTTTTTCATTTAACCTATTTTCCGAGCTTTAACGTGTACTACAAACAAAATCAATTCCATTAACAATAAATTGCCACAAATGTTTTATTTGTTTTCTATGCCGCATATGCTACATACATGTGTGTATGTATGTATGTATGATTGTATATATTTATGTATATCTATTTATGCCATTGTAATGCGCCCCATTTGCGTCTCATACTTTTCCTCTGAAAGTCTTCCCATGCCGCTTAGCTTTTGTTCAGTCCATCAGGCAGCCTTCACAATGTCCCCAGCGACCTGTCCTCATATCAACATAGAAATTTATGAGCCGCTGACATGCCAGGGCCATTCAAAGTGGCCATAATCCTAAGTTAGCTCCAGCTACCATGGCTACTTCAGTATGGCTTCATTAAAGCCACCTTTGCTGAAACTACTGTGTGTGTGTGTGTGGAAAATTTTTGCACAAAAGTTTAGAGGCTGCATATGTATGTCCATATGCCAATTAATGAGCCGGGGACAGAGAGAGAGCGAGAGAGGGAGAAAGCAGACGATCCACAACCACCCATGTCCAAGCCGGAGCTGTGTCAGATCTCATGTGCAACGGCGACGGGCGCCCCATGGCGACTGGCCAGAAGCCACCAACTGTGCCGCCTGTCGCTGCCCCAGAGAATGATGAGCCACATAAAAATGTGCTTTCAATGTCAATTAAAATACATTTTTCTTGAACTGAAGTCGCCTCCTTCCCCTTCAAGTGCCACTTGAATAAATTCAAAATATACACATATAGAAATTTTTTCTATTTCCTTAGATATAGTTTGACTTTAATGGTGCTTGGCCCCGACAAAATTGATAAATGAGCACACCTTTTGACTTGCCCACCCCAAGAGTTCATTTATTTGATTTGTCAGATAAACGAGGCACTAGTTTTTGCCAAAAAATGAGTCGTCTTCTACTCACCAATGTCGAAAGCCGCAATTGCTGGCGTATTGAGCATTAAACAGCCGCTGGCAATGATCAATGCCAAGAGGCTAAGGTTCCAGTTACCATTCCAGTTACTTGTCGGACTGGCTAAATGCCGGACTCGACTGTGGTTAGGTGTAGATGATGATGAGCGGGGATAGCAAGAGCGTGGGGAGCTGGAAAGGCACTGGCGGGAGAACATCTTGTAGCTAGAATCTGTTATTATTGTTGTTTTTATTGTATTCGCTTTGTTTGTTGTTGATAAGCTGCGCGTCATTTTTTGGTGATAAACTTTAACTGATTGAAATTGGCCTGGCAGTGAGATCTGTAATAGAGAAAGTTTAATTCAAAATGTTAATTAATATTTAAAAATGTGTAAGCATGCAAAGTTGATTCCTCTTAATATTTAAGTCTTATTCAACAAAGACTTTCAAGGTTCATAAGCTGCATTTGAACTGCTTGAACAGAGAGAAGCTTGTCTTCTTTCTTTGCAATTCTCAAAGAACAAAGCTTCTTTAATTGCATTTGAAGCTTATTTAGATAGGCCCTTCTCATCAGCAACACTTTCCGTCTTTATCTTTAGCCCATACACCAACTACAAACTCCTTCACAATAAGAGCTCATTTAAGCTGCGAGCCTTTCTATGCGCTTCTCAGTGCACACATTCAACACTTACGTACGCGGTGCTCTCAATGCGCCGCCTTCGCTTCTAATTAGTTTTGCTTAGGGTAGTCACCGCCGCTTCGCCCACATCGCAACTCATTAAAATTAAAAGACATCAAAAGAAATTTGCAAACTAAACACAAACACAGCGGCAGCAGCTGGTGGACCAGGGTGGACTGCGCCTAGGATGTCCTTTTTGCAGCTCCTAGCCACGGCCTGGCGTAGCACGTTCGCTCATCTGCTGCCGCCTTTTGTGCTACCTTTTGCCCTTTTTTTCGCCGCACGCTTTGCATAAACTAAATAAATTTCTTGGCCACCCGCCTTACGGGCATGTCATAAAGTGGGCTGACTTGGATTTTCGTCTGTCCGGGGTTGGGGTTGGTTGGGCTAGGTGCTTTTCTGGCAGTGCATCTGCTGCTTTAAATTGCTGCGCCAGCTGACGGGTCTACGGGTCTATGAGGCAGCTGCTTCTTCCTTAACTGTAAGCCAGCGTTAAATTAAAGCGGAAACTGGCTTGTGTCGGGCAGTGGGGGGGACAGTCAGGCAGCCAGGCAGTCAACATGTTTGCTTTGGCCGCTTTCTATGGCTCACATATCTGCCCCGGCTGCTCCGGGTCCGGCTCTGCCTTCGCTCAAGCAAAATTGTTGCAAAATAATGTTAAATGAAAAGCACAAAGTCATTCAGGCAGCCACACAGAGTCAGAGCGAAAGAGTGTCGGTGAGAAAAAGAGGGCGGAGGAGGGGCGATGCCTTGGATGCTGGCATGGGCACACACTGGCACATACCTCATCCGCCTCATCCGCATTGTGCTCACGACGTGTCGATCCCCGCTCTGCTCTACTCTATGCTGGTCCGCATCCTCCGCGTCATCGTCACGCACATTCACTTTGCATTCATTCAACTCGAAGGCAAAGTCGAAGTCGCTGTCGAAGTGGAAGCCCCTCTCGAAGACCGAAGACCGACTACGTCGACAGCCTGCAACACATTTGGCGTTGGCAGTTGTTGTTTTTGTTGTTGTTTTTATTTTGGCATCAATTGAGTTTCAGATTCATTCACAGTTAAAGCCAAATGATGCAATAACCAAACGTGCTTTCTAATTCCGGAGACAGTCAACAGATTGAAAAGAACCATTCAGGCAGCTCTGACTGAAGTTAAGAGTTAGTTAGAGCCTAAGCCTCGACTGTTGGCATACTTAAGTGACTTCTCTTTTCCTTCACTGGCATGACAAGTGAGATCCGTGCAGGCTACCGATAAAAGGCTCAAAGGGTCTTCTACCTACCCGAAGGTACACAGCAAATCATACATTAAATTAAAGGTAGCGTTCCTATGGGTAAGTTGTCAGACATCTACTTGTTCTTGCCCTTGGACTTACACTTTATTTCCAGAGCACCTTTACACCCTTAATTGTCTTAAGCTTAATTTATATTTTAAAGATTTCCGATAAATGAAAATAATATGGTACATATTTCTTCAGTAAATTTGTCTATTAATTTAACTGAAGATTATGTGAAATGTCTTAGGATTATCTGCTGCAGATCTTAATGAAGAATTCAGAAATCCTTCACGAGCTTACATTTCTTTTAGACTTGAAAAGGATTCTTATAATATTTAGGTTCGATTAGTTGCTTTGGAAATCATTGCTTGAGTAATGCCAACCTTCGAAGTGCTCTGTAAGAGTATCAAACCTCTTTTCTGCCTGGCCACATTCCACCTCACATTCCTCCGGAGCTAACGAGAGGCCCGCCTCAATGGCTGCTCAGTTTACGAGTAGCTGATGCCCACATAGTGCTCCATGCTGATGTTTATCTAACAAATGTGCCCATCCTGCTGTTTGCAACCTGAGCAACCTTATCGACCGCCTGATGACTCCTCCACAAAAACCCCAAGCTCAACAACGTGCAGCAGCAGCAGCAACAGCGCCGCGATGCAGCATGCATGCAAAAAATGGGCAACGTCATGTGGTAATTTGTCACGTGAGAGGCAGCTGCTACAGCAGGAAAGGCAACACCCCCGCCTGACCCCGTATCTCTAGTGTGTGTTTGTGCTGGCTTTTCCCTTGACTCTTGTCAATAACTCAGCGCTTAATTGCTCATCTTTCAACGTCGCAGGGCGCAGGTACTTTGACTCTGGCCCAGCGGCAGCCTTTGACGCTCGACTCTGGCCAACAAATTAGAAAATTCTCAACTGTAGCGGGCAAAAAAATAACTAAAAACAAAAAAAATACTTGACAAATGCCGCCTGTCATAGTATTAACTTGCTGTGCTTCATATGCACAGCAGCAAACGCGTCCAGCGGCGATTCAGCGATCCAGCGATCAGGCCAAGCGATCCCGGCTGCCTGGCTGGCTGCCTGCCACACAATGTAGGTTAGATGCATAGTGACACTCGCTCTGGAGCGCGTGGCAATGCCTTCTGGTCAGCCGTTGCACCTGGCGGCGCTTTGCGTCTGCGAGCGCTCTGCGGCTTGAGCTTGGCACGTCTTGTGGCAAGTTCGCTCCGCGGTTTGTTTGTTTTTGTTTGTGCTGCATTTTTCGTTGTGCCGCGCGCGAATATTTCATAAATTGAAATGTACAGTTAGTTAATTACACGCTCAATTGGCTCTAAAAGTGGCATTAGCCAGCCGGCCAAGGCAGCTGGCCAGAACCAGCCTAGCAATTTCAGCTCTACGACTGCATTTTTAATGGTTGTCATAAAAGATTTATCGCCCAATAGTCGCAGCCAACTTTAGTGGATAGAGGCGTTAGCAGCATATATAAAGCCACATTCAAACACACACACACAGAGATATATATAATGCCAGGCAATCATTGCCATTCACAGTTGGCCTGTCGATGAGAGTGTGATATAATAGCTTGCGAAACCAGCTTGCGGAGCACAAAGTGTGGGAAAGGGTCACAGCCAGCAGAGAAAAACTAAATTGCATTCAGATATTGAAGAACCAAGTAATATACATTATTCTAACACAAAGTAAACTTGAACTCAGGACAAAAATATGGAATATAAACAAGAAACTGTTGATACTGATCCAGAATAAATATATCACTTTCTACAAGAGCATTAAAATAAAGGTTGAAAATAAAGATCGAACTGAAGTAGATTTTAAAATAATATTTTCAAAACATTACATAATTTTTCCAATTCTTAAATGCAAATAATTCTGAGCTTCTGCATACACTTTCTTTGAGCAGTGCCATTTGAAGAGCATGTTAGCTGGCATAATTCGTTGTTTAACTCGCTTTTGTTTGACAATTTCCTAGAAATCTTAATTAACTTTACCAGTTCTCTATCAACCTAAACAATCTCAAATTTCATTGCTCTAACACCCCTCTGGCATTTCTGAGTCTAACTAACTGGACACAGGTCATCAATCAAATGTGTTTTCATTTTAAATGTCAACACACACACACACACATATATACACCTCGATCTAAATGTGTGTGACTAAACAAATTGCAGACCCGCGTGCTGAAAATTTAAACATCAAACTGTGTTTTTGGCTGACTTCCTGATTAACTCGAAAATAGAAGAAGAAGTAGAACCAGAACAACTGAAAAATGCCCGCAACGAAAATACCAACAAACCAAATTGATTAATTGATGAAGCGCAGCGCAGTTTTCATGGAAAAAAATACAAAACAACAAAAAAAAAAAACACATTTCCAAAGTAGAGCACATCAATGAAGCTGGAATGGGAGGCAAAGAGACTGACATATAGAATGTGTCTCGAATGTAGATGTATGTATATATAGTAGGCCACATGGCTCGACACGATTTGCATAAATCGAAACACAAAAAGCGAGTTGACTCGCTCTGCAAATCGGGAGCAAAAGATATTTATCTTGCCTCTGCCGCGTCGAGTGTCTGAATGAGTGTCAAATTAAATTGATCAATTAAGCAATTGACGTGACGGCAGCTCGCTCTCTGTCTCTCTCCCTCCCCCTCCCTGTCTCTTGAACTGAACAAAATCCAACTGAAAAATGCAGCAAATGCACAAGAGAAGGCGAGCGGGGAGTACCCGAGCAGGGAAAGACTTAATGCAACTTTTACACACACACAACAAGTGACGCAAATTGTGGAACGTGTTGAAAGGGGCTTGAGCTAGGGGTGCAAGTGGGGCTGCAAGTGGGCGTGGGCTTGAGCCCTGGGGTCTTGCTGTGACTCTAGACCTGCTAGTGACAATTTCTGTCAATTCAGCGGCGCTAATCAAGCGAGCGACTGTTGAGCATTTAAATAGGGTGTAGCTGGGAGCTGTTGGAGCGAGCTGGTAGCTGCAACAGACAAATTGGCTGCGATTGCAGTGCGTGGTTACTGCTGCTGCCGCTGCTGCTGCTGCTGGCGGCTTAAAGTCCAACATGCGGGCTGTTTGCCTAGTCAGACAGCAGCGTCATATAATCCATCAAGCAAGCAGACAGTTGCAGCTACAACAACAACAAGAACTGGAGACGACTCGAATTTCCCTCAGCTGTAATCAAATCAAATGACAACGCAGACAGCAAGGAAACTGCAACGACTTTGCTGAAGCCCAAACAAGCAAGGCAACGATCCAAGCAGACCAGGAGAAAGAGACGGAGAGAATGAGGAGAGAGTGGGAAAGCGACATGCAACTCTCGCAGGAATATGACTCTGACTGTGCGCGTTTCCTGTGACTATTGTCACAATTTGATG